CAGAAGTAGAGCAGAGAAAAGAATAGAAACAGAAATTACTAGAAAATGTTGTGCTTCGTCCAAGAACAGGCACAATCTTTCGTCCACAATTACCTCAATCTCAAACTGAATAATTAAATATGTAGAAAATGAAAATAATAATAATAATAATAATAATAATAATAATAATAATAATAATAATTCCTGAATTAATTTGCTATGTTACAGAATGCACCAACTGTATCGGAAATGTTAACCAGTGAAAAGCTTATTCGAGCGCAACTTACATTTTTTAATGTACCACGAATCGGTGCTGCTTCTCATCAAGTGATTAACTCCATCCAAAATTCTTTACAAATAGAATTTTGTTTTATACTATAGAAACAGTTCATCCTAAAGTACTGTGCGTTAACTATTGATAATATCATGATGAAAGTTTAGGTTATTCGATCGCTGATTGAGAGTGAATGTGGTAAAGAAATCGCCATATTTGACATCACTATAAGCAATCGACGATGGTGAGCGATTCTTACTTTGTTCCAAGTTGTAATTGACTGCAACATCATATTTCAATCTGAGGCTGTATTATATGGTTTTTCTATCGCCTGCTACTTTCTATTTATAGTTTATGATTAACGTTATGATGATTACTCGTGCTTGATATTTGCAGTTCTTTTATATTCTTTCAATGCTAAACAATCACAATTAAAAAAGTGATCTAGTTGTATGTCAATATGACTTACTGAAGTTGTTCATGTATGCAAAAAGTGATTTTACGAAAATGTAATTACAAAAATAATATGTATTATTTGTTCAGGCGTGTTCGATTCTATCGTAGTGAGCATGCATTAGAAGTGTTACGGACATTGAATGGATATCGTTTTCGAAATAGATTTTTGTCCATTTGTTACGAAGATATTTACCCCCATAAAGTACTGTATGCAAATTAGATAGTAACAGTAGCAGATTGTAGATAACGAAAATGAGAATAACTTATATGCTTAAATCAGGAATCGGAAAAACAGTCGAATAAACATGAGTCGGTGACGAAAACAATACATCATCATACATCGTTACAGACGAACGATAATCCAAAAAAGAGCGTTATATGGACTGCAGTGGAATGCCTTGAAATTGAACATTTCAAAAGGTGAGAAACTGATTACTGAAAGAAAAGTATCGTCATTTTTTCGTTCTTTGCTTTAAAAATTTATTTCAAATTCTAGCACTAAAAGTATTAATTTGAAAATGATAAGTTAAACTACACTGAGATTTAGCACAGAGATTTGTCGTTTTCAGTAATTATCATTTAAGCATGTATTTTTATATATTTTTTCATCTGCGGCTATTCAATAAATTTAACTAAAAGAAATTTCTAAATTTTTTCAAAGAACAAAAAAAATATTAGTTTCTGTGCAGAAAATACAAATTAGTGCTATTCTCTTTGTTTATATCTTGAACCAAATTAAGCATGACCTCAACTAATGAATATTAATTTGATGCTAGGTAGCTTGCCAGATTTAGTTCATATTACATATTAAAACTTGCAGTGATGTAACTAATACATTTCTTTAGTGGTTTAATGAGATTACTGCAAGATATTGATAAACATCAACAGGGCATTGCTATCGATGACACTCGTATCAAACGGCTTACGCCGCATGAATCACGTCTGGTTAATATGATGCTAAAACAATGGCCTGCTGGCTTATTTCGCATGTGTGCCCCACAGGTTATTGTATGCTTGTTAGAAAGCTAAAAAATCTTTGCAAGCTAAATAAAATGACGAGAGCATTCAAAGACTATATTATAGATTCGCTTAACTGGTAGATATCTTAGTCTCGCTAATCACAGTCAAAAAACTGTAGTAAACAAAGTTGTCGTGGAGGTAAGGCTTCAGTTACATACTTTTTAAAAACTTTTATCTCATTATGAACTTGAAACTGCTGAAAAGATGTTATAAGCTTATGAGTTAACATTCTTTTTGTATATAAAAAGAATAATAACATAAACAAGTGAGAAAAAAGTGTAGTTTTCAGAAGTTAGAAGACATAATAGATGAACTATTGCAGTCTTACCCTCATATATATGTAGAATCTTGGGAGCCAATGGCACCTACCGTAATTCATAATAGCTACCAACTTGTCGAGTATGCCCGTGCACTTCTTCATCGTTTTGGTATACAACAGGCCTTCGTAGATTTACCGTGGCGAATTTTCACTGCACTACTTCCATCGCACTCTGGCTGGCCTAAAGATCCCCAAGAACTGATGACTACGGTAAAATTGTCTGCAGTTGTCAAAATACCGTAATTCAATGACAATAAATTTTCTCATGAACTATATAGAAAACAGACTCATTTAAAAAACCACTGTTTTCATAAAATCTTTACAGGTTGCCAAATTGTCACCCCACACAGTGGTCTTTGGGAAAACATTATTTCTAATTAGTGATGGGCGACATCGCAAAGCACTAGCACAAAAACTATCATGTCTCCCGGAATGATGCACGTACATGTCACCGAAAGCAAAACTTCTGCGTCGCATAGTCCCTATGTTAAATGATAAACGTCAGTGATATCTTCAAATCTATTATTTTTACATCTCATTCCTAATAAACACATTCCTGCATGATGAAGTATCCAACAAAACTCATGTCATTTATCGTGTGTATGAGCAACCATAGCAAAGTAATACAGATTGCAATTCATGAAATATTAGGCCATCTCAGCTTCCACGAGTCTATTTGTGATTTATATGTTCTTCCAAAAATATGTTATACTTTTGTTTTTTGAAATTAAATTTGCTTTTCGTAATTATTGTTTCTGCGCAGATATGTCTCATTAGAATCAGTATGTGTACGGATCAACTGAACGGCACATATTTTACAAACTTTATTGGTTTCATATTATACAATACTATCTTCCATTTGGGATGGTACCAGGTCAAATTCAGGCATTTTGAGAGGCACTTCATACAGAGTGTCATCTTCTGGATCGACACGATGGCGCTTGTTTTTGCTACAAAGTTTATTATTTATTCTAATATTACTAGGATACTAGAATAACCATTTTATAGCTAGATACAGCTTTGGTTATTTATCTTATGAACATTAACAGTGAAAAAATCACATAAACTAATTTAGTACTTGCTAATGAAATTACTTTTTGTCGAGCTAATTTTTTATAACACTGTTTTAAAACTTAAATGATGATTAAAAATAAAAGACAAAAGAACAAACCTTCTGATTTGTAGTCTTTTGCTTCCCTTTGGCTTATATTTCCTTCTAAGCTTCCCTTCACCACTCCTATTTGCTGAAAATTTCAAACATTTTAACTTTTGACGGTACGTTTCAATACGATTGCTAAAAATTTTTCGCCACTGTCGTGCTTACCTTTGCTGTGAACAGGACTTTTTCTTGACTGATGTTTATGCCCCATAATTTGTTTTGACCGATTTACAGTACTGGTACCTCCTACTGCCCCTAAACATGCCACTGCAGTTGCTCCGGACTTTAGTTCCAAACCACGGCTGCCTTGTAGTTCCAGTTCATTATTTTTCATATCCTCATTCGGGTTTGCTAGCAGTCGTCCATTTACTGATAATGTCACCCTTAAAACCACTTATTTCTAACCTTTTCTTCCGCAAATTATAAACAACAAAATAAAAGGTTCCACATATAACCTTTCAGCAAATTCTTCCTTGTTCCTCTCTGCACAAAGCTTCTCAGAACTCGATTTACCTGCAATCTGAATCACACACAGTTTCTTTTTCTGATTCACACTAATAGAATACCATAGAAAATGCATTCCGGCATGACGATAAGTATTAACTAATATGAAAATTCCCGCAATAAATATTATAGAATAGAGTCTGAAGTTAACTTTCTACAAATAAAACTACAGCTGATACTACTACTTTCTGTACAGTACTCTTCATCTTACACCAATGAAAAAAATATGAGATGGACAGTGTAACGTGCATTCCCATTCGATTGAAGTTTCGGTAACTCTGAGCATGCCTTAGCATTTTTTCTTTGCTTACTGGATTGGCAACCCATTGCTTATATTCAACGTCCCCCCAGTCGTTCGAAGAACCCAGTGCCAATGTCGCAAAGTGTAGATAATATTACTTATATTATTCATGTAAACTTATATACTTTTTCACTGAAAGGAAAAAACCAATTAATATGTAAATTATGTTCCACCAAGTATGCAAATATTTGTGGTTTGTATTTTCATAGCTTCCAGTACCTAATCAATGTCGAAAACGATTTAGCAGTTACGTCTAATGCGGAGAAACAATGAGTAAATGCATACCTACAGTACAAAGAATAATGAACTTTACTTTCCACTCATTGTTCATTACAGCTCAAACAGTAGTTAATTCCTATCCTACACTGAAGCTTACAGCTACCATTTATCATTAAAAATAAATAATACAAGTTGCTAAATCTAGTTTAACTCTTGACCAATCACCGAACGGTTGGTAAACAGTAGTACGGTGAGGTCGGTGATAAGTTAAAAAATTTGTCTTCACACTACTTTTTTAAATGTATTATTTATATTGCAATCAGTTCTGAACACCACTTCAAATACCATGAAAATGATTAAATATACTGAAACGTGCAAGAGATCCTTCACGCAATAATAATCAATTTGCAGCGATAACTGCAAACCTTCATCGATAAGTGAAGTGATAGATTTTGCGACTGACCCATGCGATCGATGTAATGAACACCAAGTTGTTACAATGGCATGAGCAAAAGGGTAATACAAATACGTACGCTACTTTAGACTGCAACGAAGCATTCCCGTATGATTTAATAATAATCATTCGTTTCTCTATGTTGTATAGTTCAATCCATTCACTGCGCAATTATATAGCCAAATTTATTAGATTTCCACTAAAGAGTAATCAAATAGATAATAGTTAAAGACACAATTTTCGTTTTAATTTTGGTAAGAGAAAGGATGGGACTTGAAAGAGCCACTATCAATATACTCATAAACAAATAATTATGGTTAAAAGTTTTTTTTAATGTTATTTTTTTACTGTACGATTGTGATCAATTTTGAAGCAAATCACCTCAAATGGACTAAACTACAGAACAAATTTCAGGACCAGAGTGTCAGATGATTCTAATGAGGTATACTTTTTTAACTCTAACTTACTTTGGTTTATTTCTCCATTTTGTTCCACAAGATTGAAATAGAACACACTAATAAATGAAGGTAAAAATCACATCTTCAGAAAAATCATGAGATCAAGACCAAATAATTTGAATTGTTTCCTAAAAACACATGCAACTTGTGGGTTCAAAGGTTCATTTGGCCACAAATCTCATTTTAGAATGTAGCGAAAAAAACCTGGTAACCATACTTACGTAGCTTGAAGTTTGGAAAATTTTAAATAAGATTCTTATAGCTGCAAGAGGACGACATGCGAGCATTAAATACGAACTGAAATGTGAAACAATAAATCACTTGACAAAAACAATAATGAAAGCGTGTTCAGCTGATGTAAATGATGAAAATAAACTACTTGTAATCCACTTTGATTTGCCATGGAAGCTATTTTTTTTCAAAATCAAAAAATTGCTTTCAATATTATTAGAAAAAAAACTTGTCGAGTGTACTTGTAAAATCATAATCTCAACTTATGCTAACCGTCCGTTCGTTATTTATTCAACGTGGAAACTATATACATTTCATATAATTTATAACGAGCCCGAAAAATAGACAAAGTAACATCATCAGTAACAAAGAGAATGAAACGACCGAAACGCATTCGTTTACACAGAGATATCGATAGCCAACTTCTTTTGCAAAACTTCTCGAAAAAAAGTGAAAACATCAAGAGAAGCTTTTTCAGCAAATTTTCTAGCACATTTGAAAGTATTATATTCGAACACTCCGTCTGTATCGCACGCTACCATAGATATCGAATCCTGTAATTACATTTTGATAATGACCCTTCGTGCACTTTGCATTGGAAAGCCATGCATCAATGGAATTCATAAAAATAGATTTTACAATAACTCAAACATCATAGTCATTTGGTCGAGAAAAGCACGTCAAAATACTTACTTGCTTGTCAATACGAAATACAAAATTATACAGTGCATCAGCAGAATAGCTTTGTTTCTGATTAGGGTCCAGAATTAAAACCCCCTCAGAAAATGCTGCAGTAACTCCACAAAATACTCCACTCATTTTAATACCAGAATCAAGCGCTGCTAAACTAGCAGCATTTAAAGCTGCTGCTGTCTTAAAACGAACACATACATTTTTCATAACCACTGAGAGAAGAATTTTAAAAAAAACTCACTGTTATATAACTTTTCGCTGCTAGTAAGCGATGAAAGGGAAATTATGAATACAAATTAATATTTCATACCTCTGAGCCATCTATCTGTAATTCCTGTAAAACAACACAAAGAACGGAACGAGGAAACTGAGGGTAGTCAATAGATTCATCTATAGCTGCTTCTAACAATCGTCTAGTCTGAAAAGAGTAAGTCATATACCTCCACGTCTCTATTTTCCAGTTCTGCAACAATTACTTGAAATCAAAAACACCAATCATGGGAAGAAAATACAATAAAAAACGCGATGAAAGGCAGAGTCAGTTCTCCTTGAAAAGTTTACAATAGAAGATTTGTGCAGAATGCACTTCGCTGTTATCAACTATAAGTAATGATAAACGCTATTATTTAAACAGTATATCACACTAAAATGAAACATGACATATTAACCTTAAAAATGAAATGTAAAAATTACCTTTACAGAATCTTCTGAGCCAGAGCAATGCTTGTAAATAATATCGATAAGGAGCCGATCATCAATTCGCTTTGTAGCAGCGACATCTCCTGGACCGACGATTCCACACCACATAGCATTGGCACCTTGCTCCAAAGCACATGAACCATCAGATCGCAGTAAAAAATTGATTCTTGCATCAAGCTTACGAACTTCACCCGAACAAGGGATCAAATCCTCACAGTCTCCCTCGCTGCTTGATTCGCATTCCGTACACGGACTTTTATCACCGCACATTTGTAGACACAATGAAACTGAGATCCAGATTAATTTTCATGCTTGTTTTCATTTTCCAAGAAAAAAAGTAGTCAATCACAGCCTCAACAAATACATACATAAATTTGTTCAAAAATGAAAAAAAAAGAGAACCTGAAATATCATACACTGCCCAGAACAGGGGTAATTTTGCAATATTTCTGCCTGCATTGGTTTTCAAAAATTTCACAGTGGCTTCTGATCAAAAATCAAGACCGCAGTGTACTACAAGTATTGTCTATGTAGCGGTTACCATTACATATTTGGAGCTAACGTGCTATTATGGACCTCGTGAACCAGGTTGATTCTGGATTTTGTGAAGTTTTTGTAGAAAGTTTTTTTCTCCTCTTTTCTTCTCCTCTCACGTTGTTACGTTGACTGCGTGCTGTCAGCATTGTCCCGCTTTTTATCCTTCTCTGTTCATAAATCAGTGAAGTAGTATTTCTTTGACAGCTTTCTGTTATTAATGCTACTCTTTTTATTGTTACTGTTACTATTATTGTTATCTCTACTGTAATTATTATGACTACTGTTATTAATGTTTTCGTCGTCTATTAATCTCATTATCTTTATTGTCTCGTTCTACTCTATCATTGTGGTTTTTATTATCAGTTTCTTTTTGTTATTGTCATTGATACCATGATTAAAATTGTGACAGTTGCTACTTTTATAATTGTTGTTGCTATTTCCATAAGTTATAACAATTGTGAAAGAAACTGTAATAATAATTGTTGCTCTTATTATAGTTAAATCATAACTTGATATTGAAAGGTTTCAGTTATTTTATCAAGTAATAAAGATCTGTTAGTTCGATAATGATGAAAGCATATAAGTCTTCTGTAAAAGAAGGCGACTGAGGTCAAATATATCATAGCTATGTTACTTTACATCAACCATATAACCTCTCGTACCAGCTTTGTTTCGTGAATTTGATTTTTACCATTGTATTTGTAGTGTAAGGTCAAGAATAAACGGTACTTATAGTCCATTGATGGTCGTAAACTTATAACTTAGACGGAATAAATAATTTGATTCGAAAATACGTGTCTATTTTTTTACCCGAAGTTTCTCTATTTCAGATGCAATGTTGCTTAACGAAATTTTTATGTACTCAAATGTTACTTTTTATTCAGCTCTCACTTTGGTTTTGTCAGCGAGCGATCTATAATGGCTGAAGAATATGAAAGTGTTTGCTTAGTGAAACCCGAAGTTTTCGTTTATCGCATACCACCTCTTACCAGCAACCGTGGATACAAGTAAGCTTTACTTGACCATTTTGAAGTACTGGGTCAGGTATCAGTACGCAAAAGAATGTTACTGATTGATTGATTTGGCTTGGTAATGAATAAAGAATTTGATGGATAAAAAGGCTAAGATCTCGCATAGTATTGGTTGCTCGCTCTTAATCATTCAGTCACATGAAGAGAGTAATTAGTGAAGAATAAAGGTGTGTTTGTAATAGATTCACTTATTGAGAACTAATCATTTTTAAGAAATATATGTGTTAAGATACGCTCTAATTTGCTGATTATGAAGATATACGAAAATTTTATCGATGGCAACTGTTGTAAAGTTACAAGCAGTAATATAAGATGATATTTTACCTCACAAAGACCATGACAGTGCTAGCAACGTGCGGATCAACTCTGTCAAGGAGTGCAAATATGCTGTTTAAAGCATGAAAGTCAGCAATAGACTCTAGCTCATGCTTTCGAAAATCGCATTTTGTTGTGGACAGTGACAAAATAGGCAAGATATTTTTCCAGCAATTGATGTAATGGATCGTCATTTTTTGATTAATGCAGTATTCATCATTCATCTTTACCAGAACTTTCTGAAATTGCTCATTTAGTTGTGTCTACAAAATCAGAATAGTGAAGTTAAAAAAAGGCAGATAGTGCATTAGGTTCAATTCTCAAGAGGTGATAAGACATTTGCTGGGATATGGTGGCGTCAACATTTGTATGGTCGGTTCTCACAACGACTCTCACATGACGCAAATTGCTCTGTTTTAATAAAACCCTGGTAATTAGTATAAGTTTCTAGAGCGGCAGATTGGAAGTTGGATGAACCAAACTGGACAGGACGCATGCGTCTAGTTGCGATCGGTGATAAGCTTGAAATGCGATTGGAAGACAAAGCATCAGGGCAGCTATTTGCAAAATGTCCAATTGACCGATATCCCGGTGTTAGTATCGAGCCTGTTCTTGATTCCTCTCGATATTTTGTAGTACGCTTGAAAAATGACAATGGTCAGACTGCTTTTATCGGTTAGCTTCCATTTCTTGAATAGTAATATGGTCAGTAGAAATCCAGGTGTATTTCTCTATACTTATAGTTCAGTGAACATAGATTATGTATGTATATTATACTATCCAATTTAGTATATGCTGTATTTTTGATCACGTGATCAGTTAGGTACTTCAACTTTTAGGTCTTGGATTCTCTGATAGAAGCGATTCATTTGACTTGAACGTAGCACTTCAGGAACATTTCAAATACGTGGAAAAAAAGGAAGGATTTAATAAGGAACAGCTCAGCGATCAGCCAAAGCTTGATCTTGGTTTTAAAGAAGGACAGACTATAACTATTAACTTTGGAGTAAGGATATCTGTTTTTCACATATATGTATTGCATTTTATCTCAGTTATGAGTTATCAGCAACTTCATGGTCATGGTGTTCCTGCGTCATATCAGTTAAAAAATATCTTGAATTTGTTTATATAT